GCAATTGATCAACCATCTCTGCATTAAATTGATTTTTGACAGCCCATAAAAAGCTAACTAGAGCATTGCAAAACTAATTTTCTAGACTGTATGAGTAAGACAGTTCATATCCTTGTCCTTTAAATCATTGTAGTACACCTGGACATGTATCAACATGAAGTCAACTGTATTAAATAGTTCTCTCATAAAACCTCCCAATTTTGAAATAAGAAATTATGGTACAAACCACACATATAGAATAAATTAATCAAAATCACAGTTAAAAATGTTGGAGGAACTTGACAACACCAATTTTAATCATAACAGAAAAGATAAAATAGTGCACTATTTCTAACAATCTTAATCTTCTTCCTCCTCCTCCAAAGCTTTTTGTTTCAGTTTCCGAGCAGTAGCACACCCAGAAAAAAATGCAAAACTTTTCACTAGCATTTCTAGAACATAAAGGGAGTCCATTTCTTCAAAATGTGACGTTGCAACAAGCTTGTCCCATGCTCTAATGATATCTTGTCTCAAGTATACTGCCCTAAGAACCATTTTATGTAATGCAATGGGACCATCAACTTTGTTATTAACTGTGTCATTAACTTTGTTAATATTCTGAATAACAGCCTCCACAAGGGAAAAAAATCTAAATGCACGCTTGGTTGTCACAAGTTGATTTGAATCTTCCATGGCCCATTGCTTCAAATCAACCGATTTTGGAGATTGACCAGTTTCTCTATTCTGCACAAAATTTCGCTTCATACTCTTATAAATTGCATTCCAACCTTTAACTGTCTTGTTTTGACTTGCTCGCTTGATGTAAGTTCTTAGCACAAGATTACAAAGTGTGTGTAGTTCTTCTTGACCAGGGTCAAACCTTGTGTCAGCTTCAACACAAAAAGTCTCACTAATAACATCAGGAGAGCCAAGGCATCGCATTGCAAACTTGAAAACTGCCTCATTAAGCTTCATAAAAAATTTGTAAAAAAAAAGTTCCACAACTTCAGAATCATCTGGGTACAAGAAGAGGAGGTTTAAAACAAAAGACTCTCGTCGCCCCCCTGAGGTGAGCCACATACTTCTAGACCACACAAAATGATCCCAATCAACAGCAGGAAGAATGGTCAACTCTGTTAGAGTCACATATTGCCATACTTCATGCACTAACTCTTTGCTAATCTCTCTCCACAAAGGAAATGAGTTGAAATATAACCGGCGTGCATATGCTTCAACCCTGTGCTCCAAAGCAGAAGAGGCTTCCTCATCCGTAATGGCCTTGAGAGCTCGATTAACTAAGACAGGCACTTCTTTTACTAGTTGCTCCTTGCTGGGAAGTTGGCCAGCATGCTCTGTACACAAGAATTTTTAGAAATTAGATCAACTTGTAAGGTTATAGAACAATACCTAAAACACCACTATTTGTAAAGAATTACTTACTTCTCTGTCTTTCCAGCTCCTTGTGTCTCTCTAGATGCTCCCTCATTTTATGTGCCGTTTTAAGAACGGTGCCGCATTTTTCACATTCATGACCAGTCACCTCATATTTAGTGGCTGGGTTCTCTCTTTTAACTTCAATTTCTCTCTTGAATTCAGAATTTTTTTGCTTGTTTCTTGCTAAGTCTCTGCTAGAGTCAGTCTGTTTACTTCTACTTTTTGACTTTCGCGAATTATTTGACGGTCCATGACCATTAACTGAAGAAAAGCAATTCGCTTGGGGATCGTTGTAACATTGCTTGTCAGTTGGAACAACCTCTCCAGTGGAAAGTACTCTGACATGATGTAATTTTCCATCTGCTGAGAATGCTTTGTTTTGCTGTGTAGATTCAGCAGAAACGCCCTCATTATTTGATGAATCAACATCTTTTGTGATAGACTCAGAGAGCCAAGAGGACTTTTCATCCCAGGAACTGCTTTTACCTATGTGATCCATATCTAATTCTTTCTTAATACGGGTAAAATCCTCCTCTTCCACACGACATTCTGGATAGATTCCAATAAAATTATATACTTCTGTTGGTTGCCAGTGTAAACCATCAATGGAATCAAATGAGGGCTGACGTATTGCTCTTTTCACTTGGTCAGTAAGAGGCAGTGAATCACTGTAACAATATGATTGTTTAAGGAATGTTGGAAATAGTTTAAGGTATAAAGTGAACGTATGACTTATACTTACTTCAGAGTAAGGTTTTCTGCAGAAGCTTCAAGAGCTTGAATGGGGTCATTGAAAAGATAATGGTTAAATGCGTCATAGGCGCTAGTTCTGAAACATCAAAAGGTGTTTTTTTTAAATACTAAAAACAAGAGGATAGAATAAGCATAGGAGATAATGAAGACTTTAAGCTTACAAAAAATTCCTGTGTATGGCAGTATCTTGAGTGTCAGTCAATGAATCTGTATCATCATCCTGATGCATACTGGAATCCCTACTCGCCGAATCAAAACTGTCAGATCTTGATGGAAATCCATTGCTTCCCTGAAAGCAGGTTCAATTATATGTAAGTAACATTCAACTAAACTGTATCAACATTGAGCAGAAATGGAAATAAAAAAGATGGCATCTTTCCAAAAAAAGAGGGAAAAAGATTACATACAGTTCTAGGTTTTCTTCTTTTGGGAGGATTAGTGAGATGTGTTTTCTTTCTCATGGTCACAGTGGTTTTGCTCGCCAATGTGGAAGAGGAATGAGACGATCTCGGCCTAGAACCAAAGAGAGTCAATCTTAGAAATTATGGGAGTTTGCATGACGACCCTAACCTGAATATCTCGAGAAAGTAGAAATAATTACGATTCAGTAAACAGAAAACAAAAAAAATATTCAGTCTTGTCAGTTAACTGAAATCGAGGCACTTGTTTGATGTTTTGTTTATGTACACTTTCAGATTTATTCACTATTCTGTGATCTACCGAATGGCCATGGGTTTTCCCTAGCACAATAGTGCGTCTACAAACTCATCTCATGTAGCCATAAGCACTGACCCTTACATGAATCCTCAAGCGGACTCTGAGACTCTAAGACTTGCTCTTACATTAAGGGATGAGAGAGAGATTGACAAGAGCCACTACTCTAAAAATACACAAACACAAACTCACAAACTATCGTCTCACCACCACACAGTTTTCGCTAGGTTGGTTTAACAACAAGTGAACACGCTCCGAGGTAGGGTAGTGAGTCAGACGCGCGACAGAGGGCGCCACTGGCAGCTCTCGGGGCCGCCGCGCTCAGACTTCACTCGCGCTGTCTTTGTCGCACCCACAGGGCCGGTTGCCGGCTGCTGCAGGCGAGCGAGAGAGAGGGCGGACCCTCACGACTCACGCAGCTCCCGACGCGGCCCGGCGGCCGCTTGTCCCGCAGCTTGTTGCTGAACAGCGCTCACGCTTCAGTCCACCAGTCCAGTCTTCCTTCAGTTTGAGAAGTGGTGTCGAGCCGCTCGGGTCTCTTCGCCTTGCCGCCCTCTTGCCCAGTCGCGCCGCCTCCCTTTCGTTCGTCCAGCCGGGCTCGGCCAGCTCAGTCAGTTCGTCAGTTTACAGCTCCGCGCGCCGGAACATTGTCTCTTGCACCGACGTGAAGTCCTGCTGGTCTGCGAGCCGTCCGGGGCCGTGCCATGGGGTTGTTGTGGCCGGGCCGTGCGTGACCCGGGCCCTGACCTGTTGAGCGCCGTGCGTGTGTGTGTGTGATGGTGATTGTGTGTGCGCCATGGGGGGATCACAGTGCTCCAAGAATGAGGCGCCGCCCTGCGTCGAGCTGGACGCCGCCAAGAACACCAGCATCCGGGCCAGCATGCGGACTAAGCTGCCCATGCCGGACTCTAGCGAGCTGGAGAGGAAATTCACCAAAGTGCTGGTGAGTATCATCAACATCACCGAGTGAAGTGAGTGAGTGAGAGAAGTGGCAACAGAGCGGCAAGCCGGCGGAGCAGCGGGGCGGGGCGTGGCGGGGGCTGGGCGGCCGCCTGCTGGCTGCGGCTGGGCAGGGCGGCTGCTGCGGCTGCCGCCGTCTTTTGGCCTGAAAAGCTGCACCGCGGCTCGGGGTCGGCCTTGCACCCTCAAAGGGGTGTCAGGTTGAGGGAGGTTAGGGGGCGGGGTTGGAGGACGCCGAGAACGTCCAGGCGAGGGTTCCAGCTGGAGCACGACAGAGGGGCCAGTGCTGCAGACGACACGGAGGCCTCGCGGAACTGCAATGGAAGACAAGGCCGGGCTCCAGAGCCTGGAGAAGAGCTCGCCGGAGGGAGGCCTGCTCGCCTTGAAGCTCCGGGCCAGAGCCCTGCCTGTTTCAGGTTTCCTACGCCTCGTCGGGCCGGTCCGTCGGACGGTATATACGGAGGAGATGCTCGCCGGCGAGTGGGCGGACGAATGTGCGCTGATCGCAGGGCCTCCAGGGGGGCTCCAGGGGGCATTCCTGCATTCCAGAGCCCCTCCCCGGCCGCCCCCCCTCCTCGCCCAGCACCCGCACGCACGGGACGACCTGTCAAAGATGAAGCACACCGGCTGGCAGGTCCCGCTAGCGCTGTCGAAGAGGCGCGCGGGGGGCGCCCTTCCCTTCCCTTTGTGTGCGAGAAGCAGACGACCCGCCGCGTGTCCCTGTGACGGCCGCCTTGTTGCCGTCCTGGCCTTGCCCCGCGCGCTGAGTGGACTCGGGCCAGGACAGTGCGCGCCGTCAAGATCCCCGTGACGTCAGCGCCATGAGTACCGCGCCACACAACTTCCGACGGGCTTCCGGCCGGCGCGGTCATGGGCGTTCCAGTTTTGAGGAAGCTGAAGAGATCACTGGTGAAAAGTGAAAAGGACGTAAGTCCACGGACTTCCCATTGGATATTGTGCGGTGTGAGCCCGTTCAGGAGGCGGTCGCCCTCCCATTGTCAGCCCGCGGGGCCCTGCCCGCCCGGTCTTTGGTCTTGAGGGTTTATCCCTGCCGGTGCATAGTGATTCAGCCTCTATTCCTGTCGCACGGTGGGGCGGTCCGGGCGGGCGGGTTACGCAAGTCGCCCTCGCTTTGCTTTGGGAGGAAGGGGTGCGCGATGCGCGGTGCCGAGCGGGTGTGTCTCGTTGCCCGCCCCACCCCGCCCCGCCTGTTCCCCCGAGATGATTGGCGGTCGTGTCTGGGCATTATACCTTTATGGCTGTGTACAGCGTGCGCTGTGATTTATGCCCCGAGAGGAGGGCCTAAGCCGCCCGCAATGCGCCTCTGTACCAGGATGCTGTGTGCTGAGCGAGCGTCGACCTGTCGTAGAGGACGTCGAGAACCTCCCGGTGGTGGTGGTGGTGCAGCCGCCGCACGGTGTCCTATGGCACACACTGCCCGTGCGGGATAGGTCAGTTACACTCGCCGCCAGCCTCGCAAGGCAAACTTTGCCAATGTGTGAGTGTGTGTGTGAGTGGAACGCAACCGAAAACCTGTTGGGAAGCCCGTATAGTTCGCGTCCCCGCCACACAAACGCGCGGTACGGTGTGGTGAGTTATCTCCTCCTCTGCCGCCGGTGTGTGTACCCGTTCAATAACTCCGTCGCCAGAGAGCAGAAGGGGTGCCAGCATTTGCGAACCCACGTGACCCGAGAAATGGGTGGCTCCAGTTCGCTATGGGCAAGCAGCCGTTAAAACCCCGTCGAAGTTGAAGTGTAAAGCAGCAGCCCCGTCGTCCACT